CACACGCTAGTAAAGTAATGCTCAAAATTTTCCAAGCCAGGCTTCAGCAATACGTGAACCAAGAACTTCCAGATGTTCAAGCTGGTTTTAGAAAAGGCAGAGGAACCAGACATCAAATTGCCAATATCCGCTGGATCATCAAAAAAGCAAGAGAGTTCCAGAAAAACATCTATGTCTGTTTTATTGACTACGCCAAAGACTTCGACTTTGTGGATCACAATAAACTGTGGAAAATTCTGAAAGAGATGGGAATACCAGACCACCTGACCTGCCTCTTGAGAAATCTGTATGCAGGTCAGGAAGCAACCGTTGGAACTGGGCATAGAACAACAGACTGGTTCCAAATAGGAAAAGGAGTACGTCAAGACTGTATATTGTCACCTTGATTATTTAACTTATATGCAGAGTACATCATGAGAAATGCTGGGCTGGAAGAAGCACACGCTGGAATCAAGATTGCCGAAAGAAATACCAATAACCTCAGATATGCAGATGACACCACCCTTATGGCAGAAAGTGAAGAGGAACTAAAAAGCCTCTTGATGAAAGTGAAAGAGGAGAGTGAAAAAGTTGGCTTAAGCTCAACATTCAGAAAACTAATATCATGGCATCTGGTCCCTTCACCTCATGGGAAATAGATGTGGAGACACTGGAAACAGTGTCAGACTTTATTTTTTGGGGCTCCAAAATCACTGCAGATGGTGACTGCAACCATGAAATTAAAAGATGCTTACTCCTTGGAAGGAAAGTTATGACCAACCTAGATAGCATATTAAAAAGCAGAGACATTACTTTGCCAACAAAGGTCCATCTGGTCAAGGCTATGGTTTTTCCAATGGTCATGTATGGATGTGAGAGTTGGACTGTGAAGAAAGCTGAGCATCGAAAAATTGATGCTTTTGAACTGTGGTGTTGGAGAAGACTCTTGAGAGTCCCTTGGACTGCAAGGAGATCCAACCAGTCCATCCTAAAGGAGATCAGTCCTGGGTGTTCATTGGAAGGACTGATGCTGAAGCTGAAACTCCAGTACTTTGGCCACCTCATGGGAAGAGCTGACTCATTGGAAAAGACCCTGATGCTGGGAGGGATTGGGGGCAGGAGGAGAAGGGGGTGACAGAGAATGAGATGGCTGGATGGCATCACTGACTCGATGGACATGAATTTGAGTAAACTCCGGGAGCTGGTGATGGACAGGGAGGCCTGGCGTGCTGCGATTCATGGAGTCGCAAAGAGTCAGAGACGACTGAGCAACTGAATTGAACTGAACTGAACGCTGTGGCAAACTAATTCTAAAATGAGGCGGCAAGCATGGTGAAGTCTAGTATACACCTATGAATGAATCTGGTATAATACAATTTCTGGCTTTTCTATCCATATTGGTGGAGGGGTAAGAAAAATGATTTTGAAAAATTGCCATGTATTCAAAATAATCCCATCTGATTTTGTAGGTAATTAAAAATTTTAAAAAACAAAGGGTCAGAAATAACTGGGGGAGTTAGGATACGACTGAGTTTATTTCTCCTTATGTTGATTCAGTCACAGTCGAAAAATCAATATTCCTTCCTCTCAAATCTGGAAGTTGTTGACTGGAAGGTTCAGGAAAATTTTTTTAAGTTGTCCAAGAGATATGCTTATGTTTCTTGAGAAGCAAAGTTAAGAACAAGGCAATAGATCATTTTAATGTTTGAAGATAGATTATTTAAATAAAAAAATCATGGCCCTGAAGAATGCTTTTGTTAAAAGAAAATGCTATTTTTTTTTCCTTCCTGATGAGTGAACATTCTCACTGAAGTTTTATGATCACCAAAGCTCATTTTGGAGAAGGGCATGGCAACCCACTTCAGTACTCTTGCCTGGAAAATCCCATGAACAGAGGAGGCTGGCTGGCTAAAATCCATGGGGTTGGAAGGAGTCAGACACAACTGAAGTGACTTAGCACAAAGTTCATTTTAGAATTAGCAAAGGCACAATGAGTTAAAGTTCCTTAAAAGCATTTTTTTAGGAATGCATTTTAATAATACGATTCTTCCACACTTAAGTACCTATCTTTTTTCACACCATTTTTAAAAATTCACTTTGAGTACCCCAAGGTTTTCTCATCCATGGGTTGTTTTCAAAGAGAGCTCTATAGCAAACCAAAGGCCACACAGTTTAAGCAAAATGAGTTAACATGATCTGAAAAGAGAGACAGAAAAATCCCATATACTGATGACTTGGTGATTAAGCCTGGGAGACAACTTGAATAATTATTATCATAAATTACAGAAATAAAAACCAAATATAGCTTCTAACTGCTATATTCTTGATGAGATGCTCCACTCTGGTAAAGACTTGAAGTTATTTTAGGAATATTTTATAATTTAAAAAGCTTAATGACAATTGTCTTTTTCCAGAAGGAATGAGAGGCCATTTCTCAAATGGATGTAAGGCGACCTAGTTCTCTCTCTCTCTGCAGCACCGATCCTGAGCTGTTCTGCAGAGCTGGGCTTGCCTCCCTCACCACTCCCTGGAACACTTCTCAAAGCCTTAACATTACACAGCATTCCCAGGGTGGTGGTGATTTAGGTGGATAAGTCTCTTTAAAGTTATATTTCTAAATAAAATAAAGTTATATTTCTATTTTTACAAATTTTGGGACATGTAACATAACACCTCAACCTGATATTACATGGATATTACACCTTAGATGAAGGCTCAAGTGAAAAAAAAAGTGTGTCAATTTAAATGATAGTATTAAGAGAATTACAATTTGTATTTAGAAATAATAAACATTGTCAAGGACACCAGAGTAACTGAAATTCTGGAAATAATGCCTTATCCCATGGAGAAACATGCTTTGGAATTTGATGCACTTACAAAATGACTTTTAAAAAATGCTTTTATTTTGAAATAATGATAGATTCGTGGGATGTAGTAAAGATAGTACAGAGAATTCCTATATGCCTGTTGTCCAGTTTCCCCGAGTGAGTCTATCTTACATAGTACAGTACAATATCAAAAGTAGGAGACTGAGTTAGTGCAATGTGTGTTCATAGCTCTATGACACTTTATCCTATATATATAAGGGATAAAGAGTCATATATATAGGCTTCCCTGGTGGCTCAGAGAAAAAAGAATCTGCTTGCAATGCAGGAGACCCAGGTTTGATCCCAGGGTTGGGAAGATTCCCCCAGAGAAGGGAATGGCTACTGACTCCAGTATTCTTGTCTGAAGAATTCCACGGACAGAGGAGCTTGGTGTGTCCCAAAGAGTCGGACATGACTGAGTGACTAACACTTTCACTTTCATGTATATATATATATATGTATATATATATATATACACCACACACACACACACACACACACATAATACCATGGTTATATAACCATCATCACAATCAAGATACATAACCTTTCCATCATGACAAAGATTTCCTTCATGCTACCTAGTTATAGTCACAGACCCTTTCACCCCCATCTCTAAGCGCTGCCCATCAGGCCAATTGTAAGATTACTCTTTTAAGCTTATCTCTTACACACTTTTACTAAAATGTGAGAAAACCACAGGACTGGGTGTTAGGAGATGGCTGGTTCTAAGTTTGCCATTGACTAATTCATATTCTTGGACTACTTACTTACTCTCTGCCAGACTCAGCAGCTCATCTATATAAGTGAAGATCTGAACTATTTTTTAGGACACCAGCATTTAAGCACCCATATAATTACTTGGACTCAATTATAATACCATTTTAAAGACTACTGCATGCAAATCAAGTTAATAAAATTTGATTTAAATATGTGGAGATCAACAAGGATCGAACGGTGTGTTATAAATGTATTTTTCATTAAAATAGTGTCACTGTCACATAAATTAGGAAACCAAATGTTGCATTATGATAATACACTGCTGCTCTAAAGTCTGAAGCAAGTAAAAAACACGATTTCCCCCATCTCTCAAGGGGACAAATGTTGCTGCACTTCCAAAAGCACAAGTGGAGAAAACTTGGCACTGTGATAACCTGACTTCCTTTGCCTCTAAAACATCTTTTAAAGAAGAAGCAAACATCTCTAATATATGCCCAGCCAAGTGCGGCAGCAGACACTTAAAGCTGAAAATTTTGAACTGCAGGGTTCAAATTTGGCTCTTTTCTGAGAAGCAAGACTCAGGACCCTGAAACTGCTCTTTGCTTCTGCTGCTCAGGGTCTGGGGTCAGAACCATAGAACCTTCCAGGAACCTAGCAGTGGACTTTCCCGCTTTCCCTGATGTCACTACTTGCTTAACACTGGAGAACCAGAGAAAGACAATAGGAAAGCGGTTTACACCAAGTGGCTTCTTCCACTTAAAGCTTTAAAAATCTTCTCCCACGCACCAATTCAACCTTCCAGCTCTCTACAATTCACTCCTATTTTAAATTCACCCAGCAAGAAGATGCCATCCAGTATGAGGATGTTTTTGAGCTCATCAACTGAGCCCTTCTAACACACTGATGAAAAATGTCCTCCCTCCTCACCAAATAATCTGGTAAAAAATGCCTAAGGGAGGAGAAACTTGACAAGTGTGCTCTGGGGACTCTGCACCCACCCGTGCTGCTGGAGGGATCGCCTGAGGCTTTCCTTCTGGATACCATCAATTCTTTACTGAACCTTCTTTATCAAAAGGCACACTTTCCAAGCCCCACTTCCGCCAACAATTACTAAAGGAACCCCCCCACCCCCCACCCGACGGCCTGGTCAGCCTCTCCTGTTTCAACAAGAAGTCCAGCTCAATCATCTCAAAAACCAACCAAATAGGGACACTGTCCCAGCTGCCTTCCTCTGCCGAAAGTCCCCATTTTCCACCACCTTCTCTGCCGGTGCCCGAGCACCCTGGATACCACCCCGCCCCGCCCCCATCACTGGAAGGGGTGGCGCCCGGGGCCCGAGCATCCATCTCCGCCCTCTCTGGACCACAGAGCATCCGTCGCCCTCCGGCGCCGGTGGGCACTGCTCGCAAAGCCCTCACAGGTGTCCATTCTTACCCTTTCTCTCCCAGAAAGGCCCCATTGCGCCGTCCAGGAGGAGGCATCCGCACGCGCCCGGGAGACCGGGGCGCGGCTGGGCCGGCGTCGGGTGCGGACGGGACCCGGCGCCGCCGCGGGTGTGCGCTCGGGCTCTGGGAGCCGGGCACTGCCCGCTCCGCCCGCGCCTGCCCGGGCCGGACACGTGGTGCCTTCGCCGTCCGCGCGCTGGGATCCGGGCGGCGGCCCCTTGGCCCCTGCAGCCGCCGGGCCGCGAACCGCGTGGGGAGAAGGGCGGGAGCCAGCGGGCCGGGGACCAGTAGGCGGGGCGCGGCGGCGGGCTCCTGCTCCGGCGACGGCCGACCCGCAGGCTCGGGCTCGGTCGCCCAGGCCCCCAGCCGCCTTCGCCGCAGGCTCGTTTCCCGAAGCCGCTGGGGCGGTGCACTGCGGAGGCTGCGGCTTCCCGCCCGCGGAGGGAGGCCGGGCCAAGGGCGGGAAGGTGTGCGCTGCGCGACCTCCTCGCGCGCGTGCGGATGCCCGGAGTCACTGAGGCTGGAGTCCGCCTCGCGCTCTTCACTCACCGGGAGAAGCAATACCCGGTCCCCGCGCGGGAGATGCAAACCCTTGAACCCCGCGGCGTGGCCCTGAGATGCCCTTGAGGACGGCCTCTACCGGGGAAAATTTCCTCTCGCGACCGCAGCCTATGTGAAGCAGCTAAGGAAACACTGCCCACATTCAGGGCCAAGACTTACTTGCAGCCTCTCCTTGACCTTGGGCGCCTAGTCTAAACAAGGTGTCAGTGTCCGAATTTCCTGACCCCGAGGATAAACGTGGTCAATCACTTTCTACCTCTCAGGAGATAATAGCGATAGGGCTTTAAAAACCAAGTAAAATACCCCAGCGGCAGCAGTGCAATAGAGATAAAATTCGCACTGATTTTAGTTAAGGCAGAAGGAAATGTCGGCACAGGGAAGAAAGCTGTTCCAATTCGTGGGTTGGTCCAAATGCAAAACTAGTCCATCAGCCCCACTACCTGCTTTCCTGGGAAGGTGGGTCTTGGCAGCGACTGGTGGGAAGGTACTCTTCCCTCCGACGTTCCAAGAGGCCCGTGCAGCCCCATCATGAACGTTCAGCTCTACTAAAGATCTTCACCATGGAACTGGTTACATCTTTCTGAGGCAGAGGCAGATGGGCCCCCAGGGTAAAGTGGCTGGAGATTCATCCTTGGGGATCCAAAGAATACAATAAATACCTTTAGATCAACATCACAGCACAAACCCCTGAACTCACACTTCCCTGGACATGTTGCAAGAATGCAGTGTAATTATAGAAAGTGTTGTAGAATTCATTTGAGAAGAAACCCCCTGGAGGTTTATAGAATCGTGGAGATGGAAAGGACTTAAAAGATCGCCAACTCCAGCCTTTGAGATGTGTCAATCATGCTTCCTCAGTTCTTGGGTTAAAAAAAAAAGTCTTTCTCCCTTACCTACTTGTTTCTTCCTAGATTCCAGATTGAAATAGAGACCAGTGCGAGCATCCAGGCAGGCACGAAACTAAAGAAAATTCTTGTTTGGTTTCTCTAGATTTGAGAATAATGTTAAATAACCAGCTCACAAGTTGGGAAGTTTCAAATGATGCAGAGAAGCCACATGGTCCTTTCAGGAACCCAAAATTAAAGAAAAACAAATTCAGTTAAAGTGATTGCAAAGAAATGCCAGCTTTTCTTTTATGGAGATAAACTGTAATTGTCTTGTGCTAAGAATATTTGAAGTTCAGTTTTTCACTGCCTTAAATATATAGAGCTAGAACTTGATTATGATGTAAAGTAATTAGCCTCCAACTAATAAAAATAAATGGAAAAAAAAAGAAAAAAAATAATTTATTTATTAATTGAGCAAGATTTACTCAGTACCACATTCCAGACTTAATTTGTTTTTCCTTTTCTTCTTTCCATTTCCTTAAGGCATGTTTGTTAAAGTTTGATTAGGTTGCTGTTACTCCTCTAAGTTACCAGGACAGGCAGGAACTCACTTTTGCTATGTATATTATGTGCCAGACACCAGTTTATGTCATCTAATGTAATTGTTACATTTTCCTTAAGCTGTCGTTCTTTACTGATGAAGAAAAGAAAGTCCATGACTTGTTTACAATAACAACACACTAGTAAATGGTGGAGTGAGGATTTGGACCCAAGTATTTCTGGTTATTCTGTGTTCCTATTCACTGCTGGGACTTTCTGGAGGCGATGACTTTATTCAAAGAAATAGTCAAATGGGAGAAATATTAGATGCTATGGCAAGGTAGACAGGGAGTGGGTCTGCTCAGCTTTTGTCACTCAACTTAAACATACCAGTAACTTTCTATTTTCTTATAGAAAGCCTAATCAAAATCCTTGGGAAGATTGGAAACCTGTGTTAGATTCCCTTAAACCACATACATGCTGATGAATATTTATTTAAAATATTTTGAAGAAAAATTATTTATTATAATTCCTAGGTCTACAGTGTGACTATAGAATGTTTAAAGTCTTAGCCAAGCCAGCAACTTTTATTCACAACAGATTGGTTTAGTGAGAGGAGATGCATGGTGAGTTTGAACATCATGTATACCATCTCCGAGCCTGTACTTCTTCACTGGTTAAACATAAGTAGTAAGTATAGCTCCAGGAGTCTGAGGTGTCAAAGGAAATAGTGGAAACAAAAGTGCTTTGAGAACTATGGCTACGTATAGTCTTATTTATGACAGCAAGAAGGAGCTAAGTGGAAATCAATAGTGAATTGAGTGGAAGAGGATTAGTTTATAATTCATGTAAGCTTGAATCACAGTTATGAAGTTTTAGCATAAATGGAAATGTGCAGGTTATTTAATATCCTTCATCTTATAAATGAAGAAACAAATGCCCAGGGGAAGTAAGTAGTCTACAACCACATCACATTCTTCAGAATATTGTTGAAAATTCTAAAATAAGAATCTGATACCATAGGATGAGACAGGATCAGTGACTAACTTTTCTTTGAGTACCTACTGTATATCAGGCACTGTTTTAGGTGCTAGAAGTGTGTCGGTGAATGAAATAGTTTTCATTTCTACTGTGCAAAATCTGATATTCTAATGGGGTCAGGGGCTTACTGGGTAGCTCAGCTGGTAAAGAATCCACCTGCGATGCATGAGACCCTGATTCGATTCCTAGGTCGGGAAAAGCCCCTGAAGAAGGGATAGGCTACCCACTTCAGTATTCTTGGGTTTCCCTGGTGGCTCAGACTGAATTCTCCTGCAATGAGGGAGACCTGGATTCACTCCCTGGGTTGGGAAGATCCCCTGGAGGAGGGCATGGCGACCCACTCCAGCATTCTTGCCTGGAGAGTCCCATGGACAGAGGAGCCTGGTGGGCTACAGTCCGTGGGGCCCCAAAGAGTGCTACTGAGCGACTAAGCACAGCACAGCAAATGGGGTCAGATAAAAAAATTTGTTTGTATAAACAAACAAATCAGTCAGGTGCTAATTGTTTTAGAGAAGTTAAAATAGGCAATGTGGTGAGGATGCCAAGGTTTTTGATCTGAATAACTGAGTGAATAGGGATATAATTTTCTTTGATAGGTCAAGATGTGACTGTGATGGTTGGGATGAGAATGGAAAGAAATGGTTAGTTTCTGTTTTGGTCATGTGAAATGTTAAATAATAATCAGGCATCTAAATGGTGCTATGGAGTGGAAGTCTGAAGGTTAGAGGTTGGAGGTAAACATTTGAGAGTTTTCATCACATAGACAACTTCCAAGCCACAGAGGTTTTTTTTGTAAAAAAAATTGATAATTTGTTCTTAAATGTAAAGGGTTTTCTTTAGTCAGGTTGCTGTGTGAGGAGAGTGGTTCCAACATGTCTTAGCTTGTCCCCACAAGCTAAAGCCATCTGAAGACGCTCAGCCATAGGCCAGCAAACCATCGCCATAGCAACAGTGTCTTGTCAAAGGGGATAGGGAATCTCTTCTCAAATTTGAGGCTTCAGTCATGTCTGCCAGTTTAATATGAAGGTCCTCATGACCACACTGTTATTCCTTTTGCTGTGTGCTGTGCTAAGTCACTTCTAATCGTGTCCGACTTTTTGCGACCCCATGGACTGTAACCCAGCAGGCTCCTCTGTCCGTGGGATTCTCCAGGCAAGAATAATGGAATGGGTTGCCATGCCCATCTCCAGGGGATCTTCCCAACCCAGGGAGTAAACCCAGGTCTCCCTCATTGCAGGAGGATTCTTTACCATCTGAGCCACCAGGGAAGCCCAAGAATACTGGAGTGGGGAGCCTATCCCTTCTCCAGGGGAACTTTCGAACCACATCTCTTACATCTCCTGCATTGGCAGGCGGGTTCTTTACTGCTAGAGCCACCTGAAAAGGACAGTGAAATCACTCAGTCGTCTCCAACTCTTTGCGACCCCAGGAACTTATACAGTCCTTGGAATTCTCCAGGCCAGACACTGGCGTGGGTAGCATTTCCCTTCTTCAGGGGATCTTCCCAACCCAGAGATCGAACGTTATTACTTTTATTAAGGCCCAAATGTGTGCCTCAAATCCATTCAACAACCTTTGCAGTGAGAAGGGCCTAGTGGCCTGTTTGAAGAAATGGGTTTTCATTAATGCATGATGTGTCCAAATACCCCCAACTTCCCAGTTGAACTTAGATTCGACAGTGGCTTCATAATTCTATATTTTAGTTCTGTAAAGCCATTATTCAATTTAGATTTTCTTATCAAAATTATCTTGGGGGCCTATTTTTGTGTATCTTTTAATTTTTGTGTTTTAGAAAATTTTTTTTTATTGCTTTCACAATAATCTTTACTTAGTACTCTGGGAGCAATTACTATATCTTTCCCAAAGGAATTTGTTCTTAGATAAAAAATTCTTTTAATTTAGAGGAAGAAATAGTGAGGCCAGAGATTACTGACTTCAGATACTCAAAGTGAAGTCTGTGTGTGCCCTAAAAGCTCTTATTGCCCCCAAATACCCAATGTTTTAATGTTCTACCTTTGGAGAATAATTTGTTAGTCCAATGCTGG